TAATTAGACTGCTGAAAATAATTAACATTCCTTTTGACAAAGGAAACAGAGGACCTATTACATTCATTAGGACAGCCACAAACCAGCCTCAGGAAGGCCGAGAAGAGGACTCGTCACCTCCCAGTCCTCCACAGAGCCTGTCACATCTGGTAACTCGGCCTCGGAGGCGAGGCCAGTCCTGGGCTGGGCCCAGGGTGAGGACCACAGCTAGGACAGAGAACCGGGAGGAAAGGTATGACTGTTTCGAGGTGGCAGGCCAGGGCCGCGTACCTACCTCCCCTAACGCCCACGAAAATGACGGAAAAGGCATTTTCTAGGAAAGATAAATCCATTACAGTTCTAGAAAACAAGAAAGAATTATAAGGATTCCCTGAAGATGGAAGGCAGATGGGAATAAACATGGAGAAACCACCACCCCCCAAAAATAAAATTGTGAAAGAATAATAATAATGGACACTCCTATAGCACATATATGTGCCAGACATTGTTCTAAGAACTTTGGCATATATTATCTCATTTAACCCTCACGAAAATCCTTTGAGATAGGGACTGTTATTATCCCCACTTTATAAACAGAACTCTGAGTTACACAGCTTTCCCCAGGCACAGTGCCAGCAGGATTTGAACCCATGCAATGTAACGAAGATTCTGTGCTCAGCCAGATGAGCAGCTCTGGGGGCTCCAAGTTTACAGCCAGCAGATTGGAAGCCTAAGAGAAGCCTGAGTGGACTTAGAGCAGCTGCCATCCCACCCATGCCTGTGCTCTGGACACTCGGGTAGGGAGGCAAGGGGACACCTGCACCAGCTCCTGCCAGTCCCCAGCAGGCACATCCCACACTCCTGGCCACAACCAGAGGCAGCTGGCTCTGGAGCACATAACCCAGATTCACCAAACATTTGACGAAAACCAAACCGTGAAAACCACCCAATTTAAGAACAGAAGTTCTAGTTAGAAAACAAAGTGAACAAAGTCAACAGAATGAAATGTTTTAAAAAGTACAGTTAAGCCCAGCCAGTGTGGCTCAATGGTTGAGCACTGACCCACGCACCAAGAGGTGCCAGTTGGATTCCCGGTCAGGGCACATGCCCAGGTTGTGGGCCCGATCCCCAGTGGGGGACATGCAGGAGGTGGCCAGTCGATGTTCTCTCTCATCAATGTTTCTATCTCTCTCTCCCTCTCCCTTCCTCTCTTTCTAAAATCAACAACAACAAAAATTTTTTTTTAAGTATAATTAATATCCTCTGAGAGGCAAGGGGGCTACTGAACATATGAAACAAAACAAGGCTGTTAGCAGAACACTGAAGATCTTAGAAATAAAGGAACTACACAGTCGTTAACTGGTTATCTCTGAATCAAAAATAGAGTGACTTCATTAAAATTTTTCTTTATATATGTCTATTTTTCTAAACTCCCTATATTGAACATATATTACTTTTAGAATCAGCAAAGTTAGTTTTTTAAATGTCTGGCCTGAGGTAGGTGCTCATAAGATTTGGTTAGAAAGCTGCTATTTTGCAAAGCAAAAGGGATTCGATCTGACCCCTGCAACAGCCCTTGGCACTGTCCAGGCTGGTCCATAACCGGACCATCCCTGCTCCCCTCTGGATCTCAGCACACACGATCCCCTGCTGGAATGCCCTCATCTCTCCTCTCTGTTGACTCATATTTGCCTGGTCTTCAATGCTCACTCAGAGCTTAGCCTCATTAAGGAAAGGTCCCTGCATCCTGCTTAACCAACCTCCCCTCCTCCCCTAAATGCCGAAGGGCACCTAATTCTCAAGGGACCTCTGGTTGATCTGTCCTGTGGGGTCACAATACTGATAACATTTACTCCCTTTACCTTCCAGTAAGACCAAGTCTTATCTCCCCAACTCTGTGGTAGGCTCCTTACAGACACCAAGAGGGCACTAGCCTTCTCTCTATACCCCACTGTGCCGAGCTGTCACAAGAACATTCTCATATGTCAGTTGAGTGGATGACGAATGAGCTTCTGTTCCAGGTGGGAGTAGGAAGAGGAAAACTATTGTGGAGATGCGATTATTCAACAGGGCTGTGCCCAGCACAGCACACGGGGGAGTCCTTGTACACGGTCCACCTGGTCCCAGACAGCTGTGCACTCCCACAGAAAAACCTGCAGACCCAGAGGGGAAAATTGGCAAATCAAGGGGTAGAATGTTGATGAAGAGCAGGATATTTTTTAAAAATGTTTTCTTTATTGATTTTAGAGAGGGAGAGAGAGATAGAAACATCAATGAGAGAGAACATCGATTGGCCACCTCCTGCATGCCCCCCACTGGGGATCGGGCCCACAACCTGGGCATGTGCCCTGACCAAGAATTGAACTGTTAACCTCTTGGTTCATGGGTTGATGCTCAACCACTGAGCCACACCAGCTGGGCAGAGGCAGGATATTTACATGGTCTTAAGGTATCTACCCAGAGGTTGTTCATTAGTAATGAGGGAACATCGTAAATAAGCAGTGAAGACACTGGCAACACTTTGACCGAGAGATCAAACATCACGCCGAAGGGGCGGGTGGACATCCGGTGCCTCTGGATGTAACAGGCTGAGAAGGACGTGCATCACCCTGTGCATCCCAGCTGGGAACACACAGCCAGGGTCTACCCGTGAGGCCACATCAGACTCATCTAAAGAGAAGAACATTCTTTTTTTAAAGGGGAGAAAGAGGCTATATTCCTCTTGGCAATGTCATGAAAAACAAAGAAAGGCTGAGGACCCGTTCTAGATGAAGAGAGACGAGACAAGACAACAAAATGCAGTTCGGGCTCCTAGACTGGATCTTGCACTGGAGGGAAAAGTGCTACCAAGACATGACTGGGCCAACTGAGAACCTGAAATAAAGCAGCAGGTCGGAGAAGTATCGTGTGTGCGCAATGTACTGAAGGCTATAAGAAACTATATGCTATTCTTAGGAAACGCACACTGAAATATTTAATTAAAGGGCCATGATGTAGGCAACTTACTCTTACATGGTCCGGGGTGGGGGTGGGGGTGGGGGAGACAGGGAACGCATACATGATAAAGCAAATGGGACAAAATGTTAAAAAGAGTGAATCTGGATAAAGAGTACATGGGTGTTCTGTGCTATTCTGGCAACTCTTCTATACATTTGAAATTAATTTCCAAATAAAAAGATTGGGGGAAAAACAACAACAAAAGGGCCTTTTCCATTAGACAGGGGGTGGGATGAGGGTGGAGCAGACACGAGGGTGAGTCCAGGGAGGACATTGGTCATCACACGTCTGCACTGGACACACAAGTTCCAGCTCTTCCACACTGTCCCTCCCGGACACGTTTCCCCCTCCAACTTGGCCCTCCTCGTTTTACTTCTTCATCAGTGTACCTCTTCCTCTCCCGAGACAGCAGTCCTCTGGGAGGCCTTCCTACCACCCCAGGGAAAGGACTGATTCACCTTTTGGGTCTCTTCTTAAATATAGTTAATACTTTATGGAAATGTTTTGATGCCTATTGTGTCCACAAGCCCATAATGCTGAGGCAAGTTCTATGTTTTAAGCCTTCTGGGTTTTATACCGTATTTCATTACTCCCTCCCAACCCCCCAATTTGTGGCTTATACTACTCATACTGCCTGACTCTAGGCCTTTAGGCCACGTTCCTCCCTTCTGAGATCTCGTGCAGGCTTTCTAGGGTGGATGCCCCATTTCCCACACCACCGTCACCATCACCAGTGTGATCCCAAAGTAACCCCCCCCCCACACACACACACACCACAGCCTCCCTCCCCAGGTTCATTGTCACAGCTGGGTGTGGTCACTTTAAATAACACAGCCAGACAGTCTCTTTAAGCAGCCTCACTGCGGGCTAAAGGGAATCACTTACTTATTAACTCAGAAACCCTTCCATGCATCTTTCATGTGCAGGCTGTGCAATGCTAAATAGGTCGGAGCGTGAGAGCTGAGGCCCAGCACCAGGCTGCTGGTCTTTAACACATCGGCAATACGAAACCTCGGAGGTTCCGCCGTACTATCAAACACCAGAAAGCTAATAATAATGATAGCTTACGTTCTGGCAGTGCTTTTACTAGAGTCCTTTCAAGTACATCTCATTATTCACCCATTCATTCACGTGCTCATTAAACAATTAGTATCTGTGCCATGTCACCAGGTACATGCGAAGACTGTAGAGGCAAAGACCCAAGCCCTGGCCACAGGAGGCTGATGTTCTAAGTGGTCCTGGATTGCCCACTGACCCACCAGACACATGCTTAGGTGGGGTGCCAAAGAAAATTACTTTAAAGAGGAGAAAATAAGAGAGCATCAAAAAGAAGCTCTTTTCTCTAAGAAACCTGAAACACCAATCAGAAAGAATATATGTACCCCTATGTTCATAGCAGCACTATTTACAATAGCTAAGATCTGGAAACAGCCCAAGTGCCCATCAGTAGACGAGTGGATAAAAAAGCTGTGGTACATATACACAATGGAGTACTATGCAGCTGTAAGAAAGAAAGATCTCTTATCCTTTGAGATGGCATGGAGGAGCCTGGAGAGTATTATGCTAAGGGAAACAAGCCAAGCGGAGAAAGACAAATATCACATGATCTCATTTATTTGTGGAATATAATGAACTAAACAAACTGCTGAACAAAATTAACCCAGAGACATGGAGGTGGGGTACAGACTGACAAGCCTCAGAGGAGGGGAGCTTGGGGAGGGGGAGAGATAAACCACAGAACTTACATGCATGTATGCATGCCCAATGAACATAGACAACAAAGCTGGGGATGTGGTGGTGGGGAAGGGGAGGGGGGTGTCAATGGAGGAAAAATGAGAAACATCTGTAACAAAAACAAATTAATAAATAAAAAATTTTTAAAAATAAAATAAAATCAATCAAAGAAAAAAAAGCAGCTCTCGTGGCTTCACTGCGCAAGTACATTTTGGTATTTCTATAACCATGATTTTCTATGATAACTTAGAACTCTATTAATATATTTTTAAGTACTTATGGACCCCTACCTTGGTCAGTGCTGCGGGTCTCCAAAGGTTTTCCTCCGGCCCAAAGAGTCAGTAGAGGTTGCAATCCTAAGTGCAGCCAAGGGTCAAGTAGGTAACTCAAGTTAGTGAAGACTCAAGAGCTACTCAGAAGGCAAGACTGACAGGACGGGGTGAGGAAATCACTGGAGGGATGAGAAGGAGGAGGCGTGGAGGGTGATACCTGACTCTGGCTTGGGCGATGGCCGTGTCACTTCCTGGGAGCAGGATACAGGGCGGGTCGGAGGTGACTCACGGTGAGCTGCTGCGTTTCAGATGCTCTAAGTATGAGATGCCCCCAGGACTCTAGGCTGGGACCCCAGCTGGATGGAACATGCTGGGGAGAAGCTGGGAGGGGTGGCAGAGGACAAGGGTCTGTGAAGGGGCCCAAGGAAGGGCCAGGGAGGCAGGGGATGCCCAGGAAAGGACCCCCTCAGGGAAAAAGGGGCAGGAGAGTTTGGGGGGGTGGCCAATTGCAGAGACAAGCCAGACAGGGACTGAAGAGGCTTAGCAGCAGAGGTCACTGAGGGCTATTTAGGAAGGAGGAGAGCCTGCAGAGGGAGGTGACTGAGACAGTGTATGGGTGACTCTGGAGACATGTGCTCACGGAGGAAAGGAGAGAGAAAGCTGCTGGAGAAGCATAGATGAGAGGGGTATCCTTTCTCCCTCCCTCCCTCCCTTCCTTCTTTCCTAGGTAGGAAAGACCTGAGGATGTTTAAATCCTAAGAAAAACTGCAGTCAGGGAGAGCTTGTGGATGGGATATACGCTGTGGGGCACACAGATGCTCTGGCTGTCCTGAGGTCTTGGAGGGGAGCACAATGAGCCACAATCCCAAAGGCCAGCAGGACACATGTCATCAAATCCCCTTTACAGATAGGGGACCCTGCCATGTGGAGTTAAGGTCACACAATATTGAGGCACTACAGCCCAGACATAGGACACAGGTCTCCCAGTGCCTGGTCCTGGTCCTTCCAGATGAGTAGTTCTCAGTGGGGCCACCCCTGAGATGGGGGGACCCTCTACCAGCCCCACAGTGGGAGGGGGTGCTACAGGTACTGCCAGATGCCCCACAGTGCCCACAGAAGCCCACAAAAGAACTCTCACGTGACCTCAGAATGGTCCACTGGACATTCAGAGGTGAAAAGCCCATTTGTAAGGATCTGCACCTAGTACCGAACTTCCTTTTTAAAATAAACACAGAGGATTTTTGCTGGGTTTTAACACGTACTGAATTGTCCGGGAATTCCACCGGAGTCCACATCGAAGGGATGCCGCACTCGCTGTCTGGGACTTTGCCAACAGTGTTTCCCCATTTTGGAAACTCACGTCAACCTCAGCAGCCCCTCCCCTGGCATTCGAGTCACCCACACAACACACCTGCGCCGTGTGGGTGTCTGTGGTTGCCGCATTCTCAGTGATTCTATGTACAGGTTCAACCATCTGACTCCCTCCTCCTGGCTTCCGTGGAGTCACGCTCAAGCATAGCAGACATGATACTGTATTATAACTAGTTTGTCCTTTATTTCTCTCTTCTACTACAGTCAAGGCATTTTATTGATATTTTTAATTTGTGTAAATAGGTAGGTCATATTACCTATGAATTCTACTCGGGGTAATGAGGAAGTATTACAAATATTTGCTAAATAAAAAAGGGGGCACCATTCCTCATCGTGAGCCCCTAGGAGCGAAAGAAACTGCGGTGCTGAGGGAACAGCAGGGGTGAGCAGAATCAGGGTGGCTTCACGTGACCAGTCCCAGGGAATAAATGCAATGGTCTCTTCCAGACACCTGCATGAAGCTCACGGATGACGGGCATACTGACGATACGGCACATCTATGGGGCTTAAGGAAACTGTACAATTGGCCACCTCCGGGAAATTTCAGGTCTACGATTAGTTTAAATTATACCCTATCTCAGCATTTTCCAGCACGATGACAACAGGTAGAGACCACGAGTCAGTCTGTAGGGGCCAGGGCAGTGATAAATGCTTCAATGTCCAGAGGCGAAGATGTGTTTAGAAGTCAAAGCAACAGGTGCCAGGCTTGGGCTGGGGAATATCTTCCTAATGGATGAGAAGATGAGTAAACAGTTTGTAAGAGGATGCTTAAGGAAATGTATTTATGGAAAATGCTATATCGTGAGGAAATATGGACAGGCATAGGGATAGAGAAATGATCTCAGAGGACCTCCAATAAGTTAAAAAGACAGGCCAGAAATGCTCAGGGCTCGGATTCGGAGAGGGGATGGTTGTTTAGTGGTCGGGATGTGGAGGCATAAATTCCCATGGGCGTGCTACTCACTGCCGAACAGGAACAAAGGGTAAAAAATGTGTCTTTCAATCAAGAGGGGATAGCTAACTGACTCGTGTGTCCTCCCCAAAATGAGGATGCGGGGGCCTGGGGAGAGAGGAAGGGGCCGCCCGCCGGCGTGGAGCACTAATGGGAAGTCGGAAAGGGCTTTCTGAGGGGCTCTTCCACAAACACTCGCCACTCCTCTCCTCTCACGTTCCTCATAAAAAAATAAATAAAACACAATGGAACACTTTAGAGTCCATCATTGTACATTTCCCTATTGTTTTCATATTTTTCCAGTGTATTTTTAAAAGGTTTTTGTAAACATCGGGTCAAAGCAGCTGCAGGAACTGACAAGCAGACAGACTCAAATGAGGAGCTGCAGCACTTCCCAGAAGGAAGTAGAGGAGCCAGGCACAGCGGGGCTCCGGAGACACATCCACACGTGGGCAGAGCGTCCAGGAGCCAGGTCACAAGTCCCTCTGGAGAGTGGGATCGGCTAGGGGCCAACAGGGTCCCCACCCATGCCACACTGAACTAAGGACACCCGGCAGGGCCCCCCCACGCTCAGGGCACACCGGCTCCTCTCAGAGACCAGGCAGTGGGAAGAGGAAAAGCATCCTAGGTTTAGGAGTCATGCAGGGCCAAGACCGACTAGGGGGAGGCAAGGGAACCATCTTCTTCAGGTACAAAATTTAAATTTAAGGTGTGCCAAAAAAAAACCCCCAGAAAACTTAGTAATCAAGATACACGATATCATAATGCAATATTTTCCAAAATCACATTGGTAAACTAAGGCGCAGGCTGTAACCAGGGCCAGGATTAGGGCCAGGCCAACGAGGCGGGGTCAGAGGAGGGTCTGCCATGTGGAGAGAGTCCCGTGTAACAAAGCCCTGCTCCATCCCTGGTGGAGAAACCACACAGCACCACAGTCCCCTTTCCAAAACCCTTGCAATTCAGGAATTTTAAGAGTTTTTAAAAAGGTAACTTAGAGCATATTTCATAGATGACATGGACCCACAGCAGGTCTGGGGCCGCCCCCCACCCCCAGTGAACACAGGAAATTTCTTCGGCCACGGCCATGAATATTCGCACTCTGCAGAAGAGACGACCAGTGGCCTCACATTAGTCCAGGTCAGGTTGTGCCATCGCATGATTTAAAGAAAAGCTTTCAGCTTTAGAATGTCTTGGGTTCTGAAACTATAAAGGAGCATGAGTCTTAACAGCACTACATTAGCTTGCGTATAGAGAAAAGGCAGAAGACTGGACCCCAAACTTTTGTTATAAACTTATGCAGAAAAGACAACTGCAAAGTCCTTACAAGTAATAACCCAAAAGAAGGCAATTTCTAAAAGTTGGTCAAGCCCAGCCTGGCTGGTGTGGCTCAGTGGCTGAGCGTTGACCCATGCACCAAGGGGTCGCCGGTTCAATTCCCAGACAGAGCACATGCCCAGGTTGTGGGCCAAATCCCCATTGAGAGGCATGCAGGAGGCGGCCAATCGATGTTCTCTCTCATCAATGTTTCTATCTCTCTCTCCCTCTTTCCTCTCTCTCTCTCAAATCAATAAAGAAAAAAAGTTGTTTTTTTGTTTGTGTTTTAATTTTTTTTCTTTATTGATTTGAGAGAGAGAAGAAGGGAGAGGTAGAGAGAGATGGAAACATCGATGAGAGAGAACATCGACTGGCCGTCTCCTTGCAAGACCCCCACTGGGGATCAGGCCCACAACCTGGGCATGTGCCCTGACCCAGAATTGAACAGGCGACCTCTTGGTGCATGGGTCAGTGCTCAACCACTGAGTCACACTGGCCGGGCAAGATAAAAAACTTTTAAAAAAATAAAATAAAATAAAAATTGGTCAAGCCCAGAGCAGATTTATAGCAGCATTTCCCACTATCCAACCAACTGCTATTATTAAATACCTTCTGTGTGTAAAACCCTGTGCAGAGCTCTGGGAGGTACTAAGACATACACAACATGGTTCCAGCCCTTAAGAGCTTAAAAGGTAGTAGGGACAAGAAGGTAAACACAAACACAGAATTTTGGCAACTGAAGGGAACTAATCCACACTCACACTTTAAAAATGATGAAACCAGGTAGTTAATGGCAGAAAGAGATTAGAATCTGGGTTATCTAACTGCCCTTTTTACTATTTTTTTTTTTATTCCTCACCCAAGGATACTTTTCTATTTATCATCAGAGAGAGTGGGAGGGAGGGAGAGAGACAGAGAGAAATATCGATGTGATAGAGCACATTGACTGATCGCCTCCCCGACGACCCAACCAGGGCCGGGACGAACTGCAACCAAGGTATGTGCCCTTGACCAGAATCGAACCCGAGACTCATTGGTCCACAGGCTGACGCTCTAACCGCTGAGCCAAACCAGCCAGGGCTAACTGCCCTTTTTAAAAAAAAAAAATTTTATTGATTGATTTTGAAGAGAGAGAGGAAGGAAATGAGAGAGAAACATCAATTTGTTGTTCCACTTACTTATGCATTCATTGGTTGCTTCTTGTATGTGCCCTGACCAAAGATTGAACCCACAACCTCAGTGTATGGGGATGATGCTCTAACCAACTGAGCTACTTGGCTAGGGCCTTCACTGCCCCTTCCATAGGCTTCTTGCATGATCATTGCCAACTCAGTGATGAAATTACGAGGGGTAAAATATCCCGGCTGAAGTGGTTTTGGTCAAATATACCTTTGCAGCAAAGATGGGCTCTGACTTTAAAAAGAACTTTGGTTTGGGGAGCCAGCAAAGCAGATGACGGCGGTCCAGGCAGGAAAATGATATGAGATACGGGGCGGGCATGTGCGTGGCAGGTTAGCCAGGCATGTGGATTAGGCTGTGGAAAGGGCACAGAAGAGTTGTGGGGAAAGCAGATGCAAACGATGCATGGAGAGCTGGAACGTCAGAGTGGAGAGCCGGCACTTATGTCCTAAGGCAGCACGTCCCAGTCACTTGCCGCCTGCCTTCATGATTGGTCTTGGCTGCCCACCACCCTCGTGGGAAGAGACGGAGTGTAGTGGTTGAAAACTGCTCACTCTGGGGTCTGATTCTTTCCATTTGAATCCGGGCTCTGTTGCCAACTGTGTGACCTTGGACAAGCTGCTTAACTTCTCTTTGCCTCAGTTTTCTCAAGACAATCCAGGTACCTCTCTCAGGAGGGTTAGATGAAAAAGCATGTTTATTATACTGAAAACAGTACCTAGCAATTTAAGTACTCAATAAATATTAGATGTTGTTAACCTTTTTACTTAAGTTAAATTTTTAGTTAAGTATATACTGTAGCCTTATCCTAAGCAATAATATCCATCAAATAATAGGCTTTTTAAAAAATGTTTTAATTGATTTTAGAAAGGGAGGGAGAGAGAGGTAGGAACATCAATGTGAGAGAGAAACATCAATCAGCTGCCTCCGACACAACCTCTCCTGGGAATCGAGCCTGCAACCTGGGCATGTACCCTGACTGGGAATTGAACCAGTGACCTCTCAGTGCACAGGATGATGCTCAACCAACGGAGCCACCCTGGCCGGGGCCCATGGGCTTGTGACAGTTATGGCTTTGATGATATACATATAACAAGAGATTAAATCAAAAGTCTTTTTTTTTTTATCCTTACCCAAGGACATTTTTGCATTTATCTTCAGATAGATTGCGAGGGAGAGAGGGAGGAAGAGAGAGAGAAACACTGACACGAGAGAGACACATGGAGTGGCCGCCACCCACACAACCCCAACTGGGGCTGGGGACAAACTGCAACTGAGGTACGTGCCCTTAGTGCAGGAACTGAACCCAGGACTCTCTGGTCCACGGGCCGATGTTCTAACTGCTGAGCCAAACTGGCCAGGGCCAAAAGTCTTAATTAAGGCACCAAGTACAATAGATCTGATGTTCCCAAGCTGGTAAAAGGGGCTTCCACAGGACCACTCAAGAAACTTGATATCCGACCCTGCAACAGGGAGGACTGGGTGGGCTGACATCTAACCACCACTTGCAACACCCAAAGTATGAGACACAGCCTGGCCAGCTGCTATGGGAGGAGCCAAGAGAAATGGTGAGCTGGGGATCAGCCTGCGTTCTCAGGTTCACTGTGCCAACAACCGTGTGACTGTGTCCTTGAACTTACATGGACCATATGCAAGAGAAGCACCTTTGCCCAAAAGGGCCCCTCAGACAGACTGAAGGACCTTCGCCGAAAGAGGCTAAAGGCGAATCGCTGGATTTTAGAGGCTAAGGAAAGAACAGTGATCTAGAATAGAAAACAGCCCTGGCCGGTTTGGCTCAGCGGTTAGAGCGTCCGCCTGCGGTCTGGAGAGACCCGGGTTCGGTGCCCGCTAAGGGCATGTACCTTGGTTGCAGTTTGTCCCCGGCCCTGGTTGGTCGTGCGGGTGGCAGCCACTCGATGTGTCCCTTTCACATTGATGTTTCCCTCTCTCTCTCTTCCTCTCTCTCCCTCCCACACTGTCTATACAAAAAATAGAATAGAAAACAATTTGTTCTTTTCCAGACAAATGGAAGTCAGCAACCCCAGCAATGGGGAAAGGGGAGGAGACGTCCCCGAGAAACCAGGAACATGGCTACAAGAGAGCAGCGGCGTTCAATCCCTGCCAGGCCCAGGAAGCTGGAAGCTGGCAGGCAACAACGCCGGCCAAGTGAACCCCTTCCTGTCCCTCTCAGCCCACTGGCAAAGGAATGGATGCATTAAATACTGAATTGTGACCTAAAGTGACCACAGGACCTTCTACTGCCTAAGAATGACCAGAAAAGATATGATTTCATCCCGAGGCAGGGAAAGAACTGATCCCGCTCAAAAACATAAAGGGATAGTAGGAGACAAAATTAAGTCACTTTATAAACACATCCCAATGAGTCATGTTTCTTTATACTAATTAGAAACATAGTGATTAAAGTGGAACGTTTGTCCCTATACCAACTAAAATCATCTCTCACATCCCCACTGATATAGTAGTCACCATTAGAAACAAGTGACAGGGCGATGAGGAACTAAGGAAAAAAGCAAGGCAGGCAGGGACAGCAAAGATTAGTTTGGTGAGTTCAGCGGGAACTCATTTGCTCCTCAACTCTGAAAATGATGAGATGGAAAGAGCAGCTGATTCAGTGGATCGCAGACTCCGAGTCCTTGCACAAATGACTCCGATCAAAGGGAAACCCACATGGCCCCGCTGCATGTACAGAAAAGCTCTGACTCCCCGAGTTCCTAAGCTGAGTTTACCATGTGATCTTGCTCATTTCAGGCCAGAGCAAAGGCAGCAGAGAAGAGGCACACTCTCACAACACTGAGTCACCTGGAAAGCATCAGCCAATGTCTCCAAGTCCTGGAGCCCTGGGGGGATCCTGGGCCAAACTAGTCCCTGGAGTCTGCCAAATCCAAGCACAGAATGTAAAGCAATACAGCAGGGCACAGCCCCCCACTGCCTGCACTGGGCAGTTGGGGCATGGGGGGAGTGTGAAGTTTAAATTTTAAGACAAGACACAAGGGGTGCTCCCCACGGTTTTGGAGATGGAGAGTACACAGCTCTCAGCTGCCCAATTAAACAGTCAAAGGAGACACAGACAACGATGCTGTGAGGGCGGGGTGGGGCCGGGGAGGAGGCTGGGAAAAAAGGAGAAACATCTGTAACAAAAGTAAATAAATAGCCCTGGCTGGTTTGGCTCAGCGGTTAGAGCATTGGCCTGTGGTCCAGAGAGACCCGGGTTTGGTTCCTGCTAAGGGCACGTACCTTGGTTGCAGTTTGTCTCCGGCCCTGGTTGGGTGCGGGTGGCAGACACTCCATGTGTCCCTTTCACGTTGATGTTTCTCTTTCTCTCTCTCTCTCTCTCCCCCTCTCTCCCTCTCTCCCTCCCTCCCACTCTATCTGAACAAAAAATGTCCTCGGGTAAGGATAAAAATAATAATAATGATGAAAAATAAATAAACATTTTTTAAAAGTTTAAAAAAATAAATAAAAAAAAATTTGTTTAAGACAAAAAACAAACAGTCAAAGGAGGAATTACCTGACCCAGTTCCCCTTCACAAGAAGGTACTTACTTCAGCTCTGACTTTGTCTCTTAACTTCCAATTTGGCTTCTTTCTTCTGGGGTTTCTCCTTCAACCTGACCTCTGCATGCCCAGCTCTGTTCCTACAGTTCCAGACCAGCTGAGTTATTCCCTGAGATGGGACCAAACTAACCAGATTTTACTGCAGTGGTCCTCAACCTTCCTAATGCCGCAACCCTTTAATACAGTTCCTCATGTTGTGGTGACCCCCAACCATAAAATTATTTTTGTTGCTACGTCATAACTGTAGTTTTGCTATTGCTATGTCTTAGGTGACCCCTGTGAAAGGGTCATTCAACCTCCAAAGGGGTCGTGACCCACAGGTTGAGAATCGCTGTTTTAATGGCTCATCCAGCATTCGCACTCCAACATTATTAGTTTACAGATAAGGAAACTAAAGGACTCACGTCACGTCCCAGTCCCTGAGCGGAGACAGAAGCCCAAGTCCCCTGACACCCAGCACAATGCTCCCCTATACACCATCATGCTAATTCTCAAAGGGGGTTGGCTCGCTTTCTCCAGGCCACCACCTCAACCTTCATTCTTCTCCCACGAACACCTCAAAATGGCAGAAGAGCCTCAGAATTAACTTGCCTGAAATAAACAAGGATGAAAGAGATGAGAATCATCTCAATGAACTAGCTGGTCACCTTTGGATGGAGTTACCAGTGGCCACAAATCCCTTCTCAGAAAATAGGATAGTGTGCTGTAGTCTGCTGAGTGCACCTGCGGCCCAGAGCCGTGAGCAGGGCTCCACAGCCGGACTGTAACAATGGGCAGGGGGAGGCCCAGAAATCAGGCAGGAGGATGAGGACTGGAGTCAAGAATCTGAAAAGATAAACTGCTATGACTAGTGACAGTAGGGTGACAGAAAGACAAATGCTGCCCAGAGAACTGTTAAGCAAGAGAAAAAAAACACTGGCATCAAAATAAAATAAGGTTTATGAGATACATCCTATGCCAAGCAGAAAGTGGATTCTCCTTAGAGTAACTTCCAGGCCATCTGGTCTTCTTCTCCAGTGCAGGGTACTGACCTCTCTCTTCTTCTCGAACATTCACTGGGATGTTTTTCAAATAAGAATCTGGAATTTCGACACCTTTTGACTAGCTGTGTTTAATCCACATAAGCCCTCCTTCCTATGGCTTAACTAACACCACCTCCACTTTTACCTTTTCCCCAACATGCAATCCCTACATAGAACACAACGGAATCAGACAGATCTCGGTTCAAATCCCAGTTTAGACACTTGCTAGCTGTGTGACATATGCAATCATTTTAACTTTCAGAGCCTCAGTTTTTCTAGCTGTAAAATGGGGATAAATAAGCATCTGTTTATCCATTGCTATCAAAGAAGAACATATATCAAGTGCTTAGCCCAGTGCCTGGTATATAGTAAGTATTCAATAAATGGTAGCTATTATTATTATTACTACAAGCACTGAAGCCAACTAAGGTTCCATTTGTGGAATTAACTATCAGTTGTCCAAGGTCACAAAAGTGAGTCAGAAAGGGACCTCAGATTTCCTGATTCCAGAAGCCTTTGCCACCCATCAGCTCCTACACAAACAACATCATTGCTCAATGACCTAGAAATCTGGGTATCTGATCACATCCAAGTACCACAGCCAATGATTTAATAAGCCCTCCCCATGTGCTAGGAACTGTGCAGGCTATACGAAAGCTTCAAGGCTTCTACAGATCAGAGTAGAAAGGTCATCTCTTTTTCATGGCAGGCAGAAACAATTCAAAAACAAAAATCTGGAACTACCGCTTGCTTGTGTGGCCCAGTAGTGACAATACCTCTTGTGCATATTTAAGAAGGCAGATGAAAGTAAGACCAATGCCTTGGCTGCCTTATTCCTCGCTTTAGAAAGACAAGTTTGATTGGGAATAAGAGGGAGGGGGATCCTAAGAAGTAGAGACTAAAATGGGGTCTGGCTAAGGACAGTGAGCTAAATGTAGGTCCCCACCAATGCTCCAAAGAAAGGCAGCTATTGTCTACAAGGTGGGCTTCTTGCTTCACCAGGGCCTGTCCCTCCACTGATCGTACAAGCTATGAAACCTCAGGAAGCACTTTTTTTAAAAAATCTTCACCCAAGGGCTTTTTTCCATTATCTTCAGATCAAGTGGGAGGGATGGGGGAGGGGGAGACATTGATGTGAGGGCGACACATGGATTAGTTGCCTCCCACATGACCCCGACCAGGGCAGGGGACGAACTGCAACTGAGGTACGTGTCCTTGATTGGAATCAAACCCATGACTCTTTGGTCCACAGGCCAAAGCTCTAACCGCTGAGCCAAACCGGCCAGGGCCCAGGAAGCATATTTTATCTCAAAGCATGAATCACCCCTCAGAAGCTCAGAAAAGAATCTCTCTTTGTGGCCCTTCAATCCCCTTTTTGGCTGGCATCCCTAGCTCCTCAGGGCTGGTGTCAAGGCTTTACGAAAACTCAGGATGAGTGACCTTTCTGTTAGAAATGAAACATTTCAGAAACTCATGTGATGGGGTGTCTCTTAAAAACTGAAAGGAAGCAATGAATGAATGAACCAGCTAGACAGCATTCGTCATTCAAGTCCAACCACGGAAGCAGTCGGAAGTGGCTGGTGTGTTCTGACTGCAGGGCTTCTGGAGTGGCAAGGAACGGCCGAAAGTGCACCCTCTGATTAAATCCCCCAATCTATTACATCTCCCTACATTCAGCTAGAATTTGACCAGGCAAGGTTTTATTTTTAACTGCCATGCTTCCAGAGGTTGGAGAAGCAGGAGGGAGCAATCTGCGGACCCAAGTTCTGTCCATGTGGACTATGCGCCCTAACTTTAAGGATACTGTCCCTTCTTCAGTGTCAGGCATCCTGGGAGCCACGAGCCCTGAAAAGGTAGCAAACTCCCTGTTGAGGAGCCAGCAGAGTAAAGAATAATGGGGAGCTCAATGTTCAGAAACAGGACGTGGCAATGACTTTGGTTACTCCTCAAATTGCCACACTGGACTGTGACCGACTCCAAAGGTAGAAGAAACAACAACCTCAGCAGAGGGTGGAAAGTTACCTTTCAGAACCATCCTTCCAAAGCGTAGAGGCCAAGATCACTCTGTGACTCGAACCCACTAAATCATACAGAGGGAAATGGATATTAAAATGAACCTCAGGGTGGACCCGAGCGGAGATCCATACCTGCAGGATGGACTAGAGTCAAGGGAAGGAAGCAGGCCCTTTTCAACCAGAAATGTGATAGATCTATCTCTCTATGTTCTATCTATGGATATGAGTTGCAGGGTAAAAACCACACCTTCTCTTTATATCACAGCAGCACGGAGCATCCCACAGCTCAAAGTCTGAGGTAATCGTATATCTGAAACCAAGCACATGGGTGCCTAAATTCTATCAGTGCACCTTTGTCTCACAACGAAAAAGTATAACCCTTGGGTGTCTTCCAGTACTTGAGTCCAAACATTCTTAAGTCCCAGAAAGGAAAACTTCCCCAACACATTCAGTCAAATCATAGCCAGTGTGCTAACTCTGAATGTGACTCAGTTTCCCTTAAGGGAAATCATAACCAGAAGTGCCTTCTCCTAGCCCTTCCCCAGAAATCAGCTTACACTTTACTTTTCAAATACAAAGCCTCTGAGTTCTGAGAGATGGTGGTGGAGAAAACAGAAGACCTGACCAGAAAGGCTGAATTTCTTCCTGCTCAGAACATCGGAATCCCTTCCAACAGTCTCTCCTCAGCCAGGTGTTGCCACAAAAAGAGTTGAGAGTTTGCCAAGTAAGAAATTATCCTCACCTTAAAAAAAAATGTTCCTGCGGTTAAAAAAAAAAAAAATTAAAAATAAAGCCCAAATAGCCTTGTCTGTAAATTGGGGAGTGAAGGGAGGAGGGGGGGGGGGGAGTAAAGTGATACAAATTTGAAAACAGCCAGGCTGTTGGAGGGTTAGATTTCCCTTCCCTCAAGAACAGCCAGATCTTATATGGTTGCTGATAAGCCCAAGCTGCTTCACTTTACTGCCCTCACCCACGTCTCAACTTCTAACATCAGTGTCCCCAACATCATCAGAGACCCTTCTCAGAGCTGGACGGTGACTGTCCCTGATGTCCAAGCTGGACACCATCTACCTACTAGAAAGGAGCTCTAAGTCATCTGGAGAGCAGAGGCAGACAGAAAAACACCTGCTGCCCATGTGCTACAAGTGCCTTTCTGATTAAAAGCTACACTTTGAAAACGGACAGTGAGCTTTCCCTATCCCAAAAGCTGTAATTTAACCCTTCCCTGCAAAATGACACCTTTCTCTTTAGAAACAATAGATAAATCTGATGCTACAAGTGAAATAAACACAAAAGAAGGCTCCCTGACTCATTTGACATCTTTCATTCAAGGACCTGAGGCTCTTAAATCACTTTATAAATGTAAAAATTCATGCCTCATCACTTTGAAAAAGGGAATCAGAGGAAGTACCGTTTCCCCATATAACAGTCAATACATTTGAGGAACAATCTATGGAAAAGCCCCTTCTCCTATCATGGGGTAGAGAGGTCAGGACTCCATATCATTATTCTCAAGTTACGGTCAGTACATTTGAGGAACAACCCTCAGCTGTGAATAAATAGCTTGGTGTAAAGCCAATGGTGAGGGTGGGGTAAGGGGAGTCCACACAAATCAACCCTGCCACTTGGAGGGGAAAGGGCCCTAGAAGTGGGACTGGTGGCGCTGTCTGCTCTAGAACCCGCATCTGACTCCAGCCACGGTTCCAGGACCATAGATCTATAAATCAAGGGACTACTTTTTCTCCTGCTGCCCCTTCGTGGTCCTGAAACATCCCTTAATCCTATACCTTTAAGTGACCGAAGTCAACACTAAATCAGCTTGTCATTTCCCTCCAAGGATCAGATAAATAAATTTGTCCAGCCCCCGCTGTCTCCCATTTACGCATTTCTGTCCCCCAAAACAAAGCCTTGTGGATGGTGGTCAAGCCTCATCTAAGCCCACCCCTCCAAGCCTCTCTAGACCAAGATGTCCTGCAGGAACCCCTGGCCCAATCACTTGTATTATTAGCTCATTCACAGGAGCCGGCAGAAGAGTCACCCAGCAGACCATCCACCCATCCCACCCCGCCCCAGTACCTTCTGTCTCCACAGGCAAGCAGATGTAGCTCTGCCTTGCAACCAGGGGGGAAACTGAAGTCTCAAAGGGCTGTCCTTTCTGAGAGAAAGAAAGGCAATGGACAGTTCTGCCGCAGGAGAGAAGCCGGTGGTCACACGCAAGAGGCTTGGAGCCAGAAGCACTTCATTCCTGAAGACGCAAGGTCGGGACCTGGAACCTGGAACCTGGAACCTGGCCCATTTTTCTAGAGAGAAAAACACTGTACCACCCCCAGGGCAAGCCATTCAGCCCTCCCCTTGATCCTTCTTCCTGGTTACAGCAAAGACAGAACCCAGGCCTCCTGATGACCCAAGTCTGAAGGCCAGAGTAACAGCTCATTTGTTACTAAGTGCTGACAACACATGAGAATTGATGAGTGCTCTAGAGCCCCCAAGGTTACACGGGCCCAGCGCCCCCAGGGTCCTGCTCTTGTCCTCCTGGGAGGGCATGAAGCAGCATCTGAACCACCTGCCACCCTAGGCTCTGTA